AAATATTTGCCTGTTAATATTTAAGCAACATTCTAAGCTATTAACTGCATCTGGCAGCAAATCTCCAATAAAAGCTCATGAGAGGAAGTCAAGTTAAAAGCAGCCCACTCAGCATTTATATTAGAGACTTAAAACATTCTGTGATTAAAGCTTATAAATATGAAGGATGAAATTAACTTAGCAGTACCCAATATCTATAAAGACAGAACTGTGAAGAGTGGGACATGAAAAGCAAAAGCATATCCTTTCAATCTGGATTCTGAATGTTCTGAATACTTCTGAATTGTAGAGTTATATGCACCTGTTAGCTTTCAGAGCTAATAGTGTGAATTACATTAATCCCTTATCTTAAAATAACTTTTAGATTTCCCCCTTTTAAACTTAAAGCCAATGTACAAACAGATTAATGTAGCTTTATAATCTGCAAAATTTCACACAGCATTCTTCATCTTATTTTTTAAACTGAAAAGCATCTATTGGAATCTAAAATCAGCAGAAACAGGATTCCTGCATACACACACACACACACACACACACACACACACAAAATCAGTCAGAAGAAAATACAACACAGAACAATGTTAAAACATTACTTCCTTTTCTATACATATTCTGTCTACAGTAAAACCCCAATAATTTTTTGCTTACACTTAACACATTCGTGGATAAGCAAGAATATTAGATTCCAAAATGTGAACCAAATTTTGAGGGTGTCTTATCTGCGGACCATAGTTCAGATTTTTAAAGCCCATCGCAGCCTAAAAATGCAATTTTGTAAATGATAATGTAACAGTTTGACGTTTCCTGCCTGTCATTGTGGTTAAAAATTCAAAGATCAGTTTATATGTGAATGAAACATATTTCATGGTATTTCAGTTGAAATTCTGAGGATTGTCTTATCTGTGGATGGTCTGATTCACAATTACGTATGTAATCTTTTGGATGATTAAATCATTTTCTTTAAAATAAATTTTACCAAGTATTCCAAGCTTAATAACAGGTATTGCTGTTCTTGAGTCTAATATTATTGCGTCTTAATCCCAGCAGAATCACTATAGGGCTGTCACCTCAGTTTTCATTGCCTTTCAATAGGCTTCTTTTAGCTGGTCTCATAGAAGGTACCCCTTTATTATCTGCCCTCTTGACATGCAAGAACTCAGAATCAACGCTGATAATAAACCCACTTGATTTATGCAGAAGGTAATCAAATTCTGTACTGTCAGTCCCTGAATATTGTAAGATGTTTTAATTGAGATCACTTGCAAAAGCAGTTTCCCACCAAAGCCTTTATTCACAATAGTGTACAGACTGCCCAGTTGCCAGAAACAGGGAAATAGAATTTTACCTGTCAAGCTGAATTATAGTTGTTTTTAAAGTATCATTGCTTTTTGGGACAGTGCACTTAGCCTCCATTTAAATGGTACCTTTCTTGGAAAGGTATAAAGCATAAATTATGTTGTATTCAAAACCAATCTGAGCTATATACATCCATGTTCTAAGAATTACTAAGATTACAATATACTAAGTTTTATTTTTTTCTTTAAGAAATGAGTAATTTTTCATCATAAAGCTTCCTCAATCATATGATGAGGAAACATCATGTGAAATCAAACTGAGGAAACATCAACCTGAACTATATTTTGTACATTGAGATTATTTAAATTTACACTTTTAAAAAACCTTACATATCCAGGGCAACCAGAACAAGTTTAAAAACTGCCCTTCCCTGCAAGGAACAAAAAGCACATTCTGCCTGTAAACAGACAAGTGAAAGAATAAGCTTTCATAGTTCTTGCTGTTTGCTGTATGTCCTGTAAATAACTTTCACTTACTGATACCTGATCACCTGTAACTGAGCAGAATTAGTTCCTTCCTTGATCTCATTCACTGATAAATACATCAAACTCTGTTTGCATAGTTTACACTCCTGCATAGTCATTACAGAAACACATGCACACTTTATCAAGAAACATTATAAAAATAAGCAGCAGCATTTCCTGGAAATAGTAATCATCTACCAAAACAAAGCCATCAAAGAATAATCAAGTCAATTTCCCCATTCCTGTTTATTTTTCTGAACAAGCATAAATTACAAGGAAATCAATATAAGCTTTTCAGAGGAGTCTAAAATATCAAAGACAAAAGCTTCTTCATCTGCATGAGGATTTTCATAGACAGCTATTTAACTATAAATGCACCAATAATTTTCTAAAATTCACTTTCATTCACCTATCTGTAATTAAAGTTAAAAATTAAAAATTATTTGATATCCTATCTATAACAATTGAGTATCTTAGCTCTAGTTCTCCTTAGAAAGAGAACATTAACTATCTCTGCCATTCTTGCAGGCAGCTACTGAAGGAATTAAATACTATAAAGTAAAAAATCAAAAATCTTTACCTTCCATGTTAGATAGTTACGACTACTGTCACTACCCCCAAAATCTTATTATGAATATCTTGTAGTCTGAATTTATTATATATTCTTATAACTTTTAGCTTTTTTCAAAAAAATTTTTGCTAGCAATTCATCTTTAAGAGACAAGATAGCATAATGCTAATTTGTTTACCAAGCTCACAAGAACTGCTACCATATTAAAAAAAGCATTTCAGGATGAAATCCTAAACATTCTAATACTAACTGAATTTGTATCCGTTATATAGCTAATCTATTTGTGGCTGACCCTCTTGCTGATTTTATTGATTTTTTTAAAACTGCTGGTTATTTTGACATATTTGTAAGAAAAGCAGATTTCAATTTAAAAAATAACATTAGAAGTCTGATTTTGACTTTGTACTATGTGTCAACAGTGACCTATGGAAAAAAATAAATGTTAAACTATGTTTTAGGATGATGTATGAACCCAGTTACTGAATTTGGTAGAACCAACATATTCAAGACTGACATTTTATTGTCTTTAAACAATTTTAGATAATATAAATTTATTTATTTTTTAAAATGGCATTATTCTTTTCGTAAGAGGTAGTCCTCATGAAGCAATCACTAAGTGAAAATCATGTGACTGATTTTACCTGTTTTTCTTTGCTTCTTGTTACTTCGTTTTGAACTGGGGTTCTTTTTTTGTGTGTGCACACCTTGGTATGGGGTAAATGACCAAGTGAAAATAATGCTGTGAAGATGCACTGTTTGGTAGGGAAACAGACCTTCCCCAGTCCTAAGCATAAGGATGCAAAAGTGGTTCGGTTTAAAAGTGTATTTCTACAACACCCAGTCAGATGCCCATATAAAGCATAAATGCAATATTCCTATATATTCTCAGTACACAGTAAAGGCGGCATCAGTTTTAAATCTTCTGTTAGTCGCACTGACTAACAAAAATTATTTACCTCCCCCCCCCCCCTTGAATTAACATATCCAAATTGCTGCTCCTCATTTTGCACAGTGTGAGGTAGCATGTCTTTTTTTGCCTGGACTGAAACTTCCTTCCTCAGTTTCCTTGATAATCCCAGCATGTCCATGAGTGTGTATTTTCTCCCCATTCATTTTCTATACTCCACATATAAATCATGTTTACTTTTGTTACTGGAAAACTGGTTAAATGCTTTGATTCATACACTCTTTCCCCAAAATAAAATACATTGCAGCATATATTAGGTAGATTTCAGATAATCTTCCATTCAGATTAACTGTACACAATTACTTTAAATGACTATATGTGCACTCATCATAATTTTGGTCATCCATGCTATCAGGGAGAAAGAAGAACTGAAGGCTAATATAGACTAACTCATTACAAATTGACCAAGTAATTTGAACATATTGAAGCATTCAGTCAGGCAGGTTACCATATGGCAAAACTCACCCAGACTAAATTCATCACAGGTTTTTAACGTATCAGAAACAGGACTGCCGTTTTATAATAGAATTCTAGCCATTCACTTTTCTTAATTTTGCTTTCCAGCTGTCTAATGGAAGTATCGATAGATATCTCATCAAAAGCTTTATTAATATATAGTATGTCCTCTAAGGCAATATCCTACATTTTTCTTTTGAAATATATTTTATATTATAAACAATATATCATATATAAACAAATATTAGCAAAGAAGTCTGCAAACACAAAATTAAATTTTGCTTATTTGAGGATATTTTCTTTTGAGACAGCAAAGAGGAATCTTCAGTCATTAGGCTTAACAGGCTTATAGCCGATTTAAAAGGTTTAGAATTCAAATCTAATACATCTTTCTAGTACCATGTTTCTGTTTACTGAGTTTCATATAGATATTAATTCAATGCTACGGTACCCATTTCTGGGTGTTTTTTTAAAAAACTAATTACAAAATGTGATCTGCAACAGTTCATGAAAACAATGAGTCTCATTGGCTTCGTGGCCATGTGACCTCCATCAACCCCATCAAAAGCATCCCAGATACAGAACTGAAGACTACGAAAGGATCAAAGCAAACCTCTCTTTCAGCTTCAAAATAAAACAAAAGCCAAACACACACACACACACACATTCTGATGGTTGTCTTGCCAAATCAAGATTTTTCTATGCCACCCGCACTTACCAGAATACTCCTTAATTCCAGCCTCTCCTCCCCCACACCTCCATCATTTTATCCGCCATACCTTCCCTATTCCCTGCATGCACCTCGCTACCTCAAGCCCGCGAGGGCCCTGCACCTCAGTCCTGAGCACCTCTGCATGGGACACCCCCCCCCCAACCCCAACCGACCCTGTGGGGAAAGGCTTCAGGAAGGGGGTAGAATACCGACGGAGGGAAAGAAAAAGGGAGACGACTTCCTCATTCCCTCCGACTCTCGGTCGACTCCTCTCACCCGCCCACAGGCCCAGGAAGCCATGGCGGCGGCACCTTTACGCTCCCGCAGACCACCCCCCCACACACCTGGAGGAAGGTGCCCCCAAGGTTCCCGCTCGGGGCTGGGGGCTCCCCCACCCTCCCACGCCCAGCCCGGCGCCGAAGCACTGGCCGCCATGTTGGCTTCAGGCTCCTTTCCCACCTCACCGACACTCACCTTGGGCCCCCCGTTGGCCCCCGAGCACCAGCGCCAGCAGCGCCAGCCCAACGGGCGGGGGGAGGGCGCGGAGAGCAGCGCGAGCCAGCCCCCCCGCCATGGCAACGGCTCCCTGGCGGCGACGGCAGCGCCGGAGGCAGAGAGAACAGCCTCGCGCTCGCCCCTTGTAAAGAGCTCACGCGGGCTCCGAGGAGACGCGAATAACAACGGCGGCAAAGGCAGCGGCAGCGCGAGACGAATTAGACATAAGGAGGGAGAGAGAGAGAGCGCGCGCGCGAGCGAGCGAGCGAGCTCTAACAGAGGACAAGCCAGCCGGGTTTTAAAGGGGATGTGGTGCTGAGGCTTTAAAGGAGAGGAAAGGGAGGGAAGCGGAGCGGCATGGTAAATTATCCTCCGACAGTAAATCAGTGGCGGTACACAAAGAAGAGCGCGAGGCGTGCCCAGAGTATGAGGAAGGCGGGTACAGGGTTGTTTTGGGTGCGTGCCTATGGAGATCATTGCTTTACGTGCGTGTGTACATCGGATGGTGGAATCTAGAGAAGTGATGATCTCCCCAAAGCGCATCCTGTAAGGGCTTGGAAGAGCTGGTGTCTCGGGCTCCGTTTCGTTCACTCACAGATCGGAAGCCATCCGAGGGACAGCGCAGAGCATATTTTATTGTTAATAAGACATTTAGGCTCGCATCAGATGCCTTTTGCTGAGATAGATTTTTGCACGATTGGTTGGCGGTGATAAAATTTGGTTCATATACGCTCTCTACGCCCGCAGACACCCACACTGCTGTATCAGGCGGCTCAGTTAAAAAAAAATAATGTTGCTCTAATGATTGTGGGAAATAACACAGTAATGCTGGGTGTGATTGATCTTTCATATTTCTCCACCAAATATGTAAGAAGAGATTGGGTGGATGATTTCCCTGGAAAAAAAAATTGGATTTCCCTGGAAAAAAGATAAATTCTAATGATTTTTCAAGGCTGAATGGTCAGTCCTTCGCAGTGGCCAAACACTGCTATCAACAATGCTCCCCCTCCAAGGATCTTCCTCATGATGTCCTCTCTTGGGATATAATGAAAATATGGGAAGTCAGGCGGTATCCCCCACCCCCATGACTGCATAAAGAAAGATATTCATGCACAACTTAGCCGCTTTGTAACTGTTCAGTGTAAGACCACCACAGCCCAAGAAAATATCTGAAATTCTCTTCTCACTTGAAATAATTTGTCAAGCCAGCTCATCAAATCAATGAGGGATGATAAAAAAAAGTAGGCTTGTTTAGTTATCTGGTATTATATAATTTTTTGTTTTGCTAGAGTTGTACCATAACATTAATTAAATAGTTGCAGGTACAACTACAATTGCAGATACTTCTAAACTCTTACTTGGTGCAAGAGGATCAATCACCAATGCATTTCAGACAGATAGCTCTCCAACTTCGGTCTGAATATCTCCAGTGGTAGACAGCTCTTACTGTCAGGAGATTCCTAACCTGTAATTTCAGCCCACTGGGTCCCATCCTGCCCTCTAGACTAGAGCAAAAGAGAGCAACGGTGCTTCCTTTCTTCTTTGTGACAACCACTTAGTTGTCTGCTGATTGGTAGCGTCTGTCCCCCCCAACCCAATTTTCTGTTCCAGAAATATCTGGTTTCTTAATGGTTCTTCATAGGTCTTGGTTTCCAACCACATCATCATCTTGGTGACCCTTTTTTGAACTCGTGCTTGTTTCTCAATGCGGGGCCAAGAACTGGGCCCACTATTCAAAGTGGAACCTGACTAACGCAGAGTAGGGTGGGACGGTGCTTTCTTACGAATGAAAATGAATGTGTTCCTGTTAATACATCACAATATAGTATTTGCGTTTTTGGCAGCTGCATTACATGGCTGGCTCCTGTTTAACTTGTGATTTACTAAAACACTCAGATCCTTCTTACACATATTACTGTTTTCATATCCTAAGCTTGTGCCTTTCACTTTTAAAATATATATTTTACCTGCAAGATTTCATCTGTTCATTTTGGCCTTTTAGAGTCTTCTGTTTCTCTAGCTGCTGCTCATAATTTGGTGTCATCTGCATATTTAACAACTGTCTCCTCAACTTTTTCATTCAGGTCACTAATAAAACTATAAACAGCCCAGGATAGAGCACTGTGGAACTCCACTGAATACCATTCCCATTATGCATTCTTGCTTATTCACATGTACAAATTGTTACTGCTTGGCATATGACTGAAAAACATGGTGAGGCATGTGTGAAGAACTTTATGTTTTGGATCAGGAAATATTGAAATAGTGAAATATTGCATGCCCTAGATAGGGGTCAAGAAATAATGAAATAGCACATTCCCTGGGTAGGAAAATGTTAACCGAAAATTGTAGCATCCAGCAAACATATTTATTATTGTATTTGACAATGATTTGGATCTGCTTTATGGCTGCGTGTTGAATTCAGCTACAGAGAAAAAAATTGTGTTTGCTGATAGAAATAGGCTGGGATCACCAGGGAGCTGAGCCATAAAGTTCATTTGTTTTTGTGGAGTCCTTAGTGCTTCTTTCAGCTTGACTGTGGCTTGCAGATGTTTCATTACCCGACTAGATAACACCATCAGTGTTACTGAGTGTGGAGTTTGTTGCTTGTTTAATGCAATGTCTGTAAGCAAACAACCAAGCTCAGAGAGCACCAAGGACTCCACAGTTCAACCCTGAGCTACATATACACTCTTCTGTTGGAATTATTTGTTAAGTCTAATGAATGAATTCAGCCACTGTAGTTTATTTAATAAGCAATTGTTAAAGTAAACCACAATTTAGCATGGTATATAGACCCCCACTACAGAATATCAAGCTCTTATTACATGAAAAAAAATAGATAGAATGCAATATATGTGTAATTTTTACAAAAAATAGGTAGTTTGTCATATGTTTAAAGGTAGCATGTAATTGTTTTTTCTATGTTAACTGATATGTTAATGGATAAAGACACTGTGCAAATAAGTTTTCTTACCATTAAATTATGTGCTTGAAAATGATTTCAATTTCAAATAAAATTAATGGCCATAAAATTAGAATAGTGTTGAGTGGGATTCAGAAGCCAGTGGTTTAGTGCTTCATGAACAGTTGATGGTGTGTAAAATGCAGACACAATGACATTGGATACCCCTAAGTCTGAAGAGCTATTTTCAGATACTCAACTTCTGAACTGATCAGGGAGCTGTGCTAAAGTCAGGAGGATAGACTCGTGAGAGCTCCTTGGTCTTTGAGTCTTTCAAGCCATACTGGTGGCTCTTCAGAAACGCATATATCCATATGGGTTAGCACTGAGAATGCATTTGCTCTGTTTGAGACCTGGAGTTCCACATTTATTCCTGTATATTGTGCTACTGCTGGTCCCTTGGGAAGCAGATGTGCTGTTGGAGCAGTTGCCTTCTAGAAAATCCCTATCTTAAATTCTTTCTGAAAGCTCAGCTCATGATTCACTTGTGGAATTTGTAGTCTGCGTGCATTTGGACAGAGTTATGCCAGAGCTCCAAAGTTAAGTCAGAGAGCTTGTCTAGCTGTACGACTCCTGCCAAGAGAGGTTCTGAGGTTGCAGACCAGGGATGCCTGAAAAAGAAGCATGCTATGTGAAGAAAGACAGGAGAAATTGGGGAAAATATTTCCAAATAATCACATCAACCAGATCTCTTACCCTCCCCTCCATTTTTTTTTAAGGAAAACAGCTTGTTCTGAAATAGTGAGGAGTCAATTTGGACTGTTCACATGTTTTGCTATTTCAATATTTGCTTATTGTATAAGCTGCATTTGGATTCACATAGCACATGGATCCAAAAGAAAACAAATTATATTGCTTTGTGCCTTAGCATGAAGTTTAAGCATAAGCACTATGAGAGGTTAGCCTTTCAAACAAGTATGTGCTGATGTCAGAGGATCCCAAGTCACACACACACCCCTGAAACTTTTCAAATTGACTATTATCTTAGACTTATACTGGTTTAAGATTTCCAAATTAATATGTGGAGGAACTTCTTTTTCATCTATTCAATCCAGGCTTCTCTATTTAAGCAAATGCATCATTTACCCTGGACCTAGTTCCTTCAGAAGAGCTAGCAGGTGGAGAAAGAATCCAATATCCTGCCTTGTTGATTGTGATTTCTCACCTCTGGCTTAGTATTGGGAGTTTTGATATAGTTCTGGAGCAGAGTGGGAAATCATCATCATCAACATCATCATTTTAGCCATTGTCTATTCACTGCAGGATGAAGTCCTCTTTCACATGTTTCCAGCCAATACGGTCCTGAACTTCCTTTCGCCAGTTGGGCCTGCAACACTTGCTGATGTCATTGATCCATCTTGTTTTAGGTCTCTTTCATGGACACTTTTTAATCAAGTGGGATCCATTCTATGACTGCCTTGGTCCACTGCCTTCTTGCTATGCGACCAGCCCATTTCCATTTCAATTCTTTTATTCTCTTGACGATACCATATACTTTCGTTTGTTCTCTAATCCATGTGCAGAGGGGAACATTGGGAGCTATTGCTCCTTCAGCATATGCAAGAAGGAACATGAGAGCCATTGAGGACTCTGAATTGGGTTCTGGATCAATAGGATTTGGAAAAGTTTGACATCATTGCAAATCCTAAATGTATCTAATTGTACATATTGCTTGTTCTGTTGTCTTGGGAGAAAAAACGTGCTAGGAAAACATTTAACAGAAATGGAGCTAGTACTGATGTGACTTTAGGTCCCCCTGAATGATATAGTAAGGTAGTAGATCATCTCTATTGCCAAGGATGCCTCTGGAGTTTAAGTGGGCACCACCACAGTAGCACTCTTAAACAATACAAATGTTGAGTGCCAGCCAAAACATAAGTTGAGGTAACAATTTTGTGAGCAACCATCATACAAAAAGTCATTTTGTAAATAGACTGATGACATATCTTCAAAATTCTAAATGTGGCAACAAGCTTCCACAAGATCAAATGCTACTAGAAAGGTACTTGTGAATAATTCCTGAACACACTTTCCAACTGCACTTCTTATCCATCCAAAAGAAATCTCCACTCAGCTCAGGGGGACCGACTAGTAAATAAACTTGTAAAGGACTATCTCAAACAGTAATGTTACTTTCGTGATCAGGTTTAATCTTCTTCTGTCTCAGTTTCTGTTTGAGAAACTTAATACAGTTTCTGTCTTGATAGAGAAAATATCTACCGGTAACTTACCTTGTAGAAGAGCTTTTCCCAATAATGACCTGCAGTTGTGATGGACTTCAGTTATTACAATTTCCAGTTGTCATGGTACATATGAAGTGCAGGCACAGCCTCAAATGTTTCTGGAGCGCCCCAAGTTTGGGGATGACACTTTTAGAAGATAGTTGTTGCTGGCAGCCTACATGTGCTTTTGCATACAGTAATGTGACTTTGAGAACTGGGAGGTGTCAATTTCCATTCTGGATACTGGCATGTAATCTTCATCTCTTAGTATTTCCAACAATAGCCATGCTGCCTGGGAATTCTGGGAATTGTAGGCTGCCCAGGCTTAGAAAGCAACTTGGCAAATGCATTTGGCCTGGGAATAATTTGGAGCTTCTCAGATCTATGTATTTATGTACTTCGTTGCTCAGTTGAATTGAACTCCCAAGACTATTTTTAATTGTCTAATGATAATGTCTGTTCTCTTGAACAACATGAACACCTCTCTTGAGATGTGAGAGAAGGATTTTGACAGTTTTATCGCTGGGATAGTCCTAAAACTGCCCCCCTTGTTAACAAGCCAAGGCATGCAGCATATTTTCGTGGTAAAGGGCTTTTAAGTCTAATGATTATCTAATAGGTCACTTTCAGTTCATGTACATTATAATATTTTGCAATATTACTGGAATCAGTGACAAAGAAGTGGGGAAATAACATATTCCAGGAAATGTAATTTCACATTCAGATTTTTATCATAGATTTATACCAGAGACATTTCAACAAAATCTTTGGTTTATGTGCCTCTTTCATCTCTGTCTCAGTTGATTTCTTTTAAAAAAAATGGAGGGGTTGAATTTGTTTCTGCTATCAACAGGAAACTCCTGGAATTCTAGCTGTAGTAGTTTGGCTGATAACAGCTTGGGTCACGCAGGATATTTTGAGTCTGTTCTATAGTCTTGTTTAAACAATGAGATTGATTTCCAGTGGCTGCAGAGTTGATCTGCTTAATCAAAATAGAATCTGCTCAGTGGTGGGATTCAAGTAATTTAACAACCGGTTCTCTGCCCTAATGATTTCTTCCAACAACCAGTGTGCCAAACTGCTGAGAAAGTTAACAACCGGTTCTCCCAAAGTGGTACGAACCGGCTGAATCCCACCACTGAATCTGCTCCTGGACATGGCCTTCAAGCCCATGTTTTTTTCTCAAGTCAAAAAATACATGCAGTGCATATTATTTATTCCCTTCCCATAAAAGCTGCAAATACACATGCTGCCTCAGCAAAGGCATTTTCTGCAAATTAAATAGCACATTGAGGCTATGTTTGTCAATAATAACGGAACAAAGCTGTGGCCATCCAGATGTTGCTGAATTGAAGCTGCCAGCAACCTCACCATTGGTTGGTTGGATGGAAATCACTAGGATTTATAGTTCGCAACAAGAGTTCCACTGCTTTCCTGCATCTAGAATAGAACAATATAGCCTGTGCCATGAAAGCCAATGTCGTTCTAGAAGTTTCTAGTTTTAGAAGTGAAGATGGGGCAAGGTAGGGAAAGCTGGGGCTAGTTTAGAAAACAAGCATCATCATAGCTTGTTAGTAATGAGGCCTCCACATTGCTTCTTCAGTTTTTCTGCTGGTGCTAATTACAAAAGTGTTCATTATTGCCACAGTAACAGGTTTCTTCTCCCCACCCCCCACGCCTCATCTTTGTTTTTCATCCTTAGGATTTCACAGTTTCTTCCAGATTTTGTTATAGTGTAAAAAAAAAAAAAAAGTGTTGGGGGGAGGGATATAAATCCCTGCAGCTTTTTGTATGGAACAACAAAGTATCCATAAATTAGGGGACACCCTGTCAACTCAGATTTATTGTAAGCACTACTTATATAGTGGTGGGATTTGCTTCTCGATAAGTAAGTCTATTTGCCCCTTTAAACTCGAAGCTGAACAGAAAAGATTTTTAACAAAACACACAGTCATAGCGTATCTCGGAGTGGATTTACAGCCTGTTCACTTTCTCAGGGTTAGGGTTGCAAAGTTCAAGGAGATTTATTCCCAAGCAAATGCAATTACAGCTTTACTGGATTAAGGCAAATCAGAAGTTTATTAGAAGGCTGAAAAGGCCCATAAAAGAACAGCCAACTATCACTGAAATCATTCAGGGTACACAAATGCTGGAAGATCAAAGTTTGCACGAGAAGTATGACAGGGCCACTGGCAGGGTTCCCTGCAGGGAGACAATGAAATCACTGTGTATGGGCTTTTTCTGCTAAGGGACTTCAGACAGATCCCTTAACCAAGTAGGGAGCTGGACTCAGCCTAGGGGTGCATTCATAAAGTTGAGAGCACATGATGAGCGTTACTCCCCAAAGGGCTCCCAGTCAGATTTGTCTGTTTTGATAATGGCTGCTGCAATGAACAAGGGTAGTCCCCAAATGCTGATTTAGCCAGAGAACAAACTGCCTCCTCCCCAGTGTACTTTCTATTCTCCCAGTGGGCCTTTATTGAGCCCAAGGGCATTTCTCCAAATTAATATGGTGCTAGAGCATTTTGCTTTGCATTGCAGCATGCCTGTTTCCTATTCTCTAAATAATAATAATAATAATAATAATAATAATAATAATAATAATAATAATAATAATAATAATAATAATAATAATAATAATAATAATAATAATTTTTAAAAAGCATAAAAATCAGGTGGAACAGAGAGCTTGGGGGGGTACCACTTTGTCTGACCCTGAACTAAAGTTTTATCTTGTGTTAATGTAGTTACACAAGACTAGAACAACTGTTGGCGTATTATCAGCTGTAGGATCCGTCTGTCTTTCTTTCAATATTAATCAGTGTCTGAACAGAGACACAAGTGCGTACATTACATGAATGACAAAATTTCACATATTCACTGGAAAATTATGGACATTGTATAAGAGTTGTGCACAGAGCTCATTCACAGTTGAATTGTAAATCTAACTATGAATGCCTAATTATTTTTAGTGTTACCTAATGTTTACAGGGTGAAGAAAAGAATGTAAACTAAACAGTGAGAAGCTATATGAACAATATTGGCAGCACTTTGGCAATGTATATCCATTGGTCCTTCAACAATCAGATGTCAGGATGGACATGCAAAGAAAACAGAGGAATTTCTGAATACATGCTGAGGAAAAAAGCCATCTATTCCAGGGGTGTCAAACTCAATTTAATTGAGGGCCACATCAGGGTTGTGTTTGACCTTGGTGAGGCCAGGGATGGTGGTGGCCAGGGGGGCGTGACCAGCTTGATGTCACTTGTGTCAGGGGCGCCTTTAGTACCCTGAGCACCCTGCCAGAGGAAACGGGCTCCCGAGCTCCGTTTTCAGCTGCCATGGCCTCCTGCAACCCTCTGCCAGCGAAAAGTGGAGCTTGGGAGAGCCGCACGTGGCCCACACAAGCTCTGTTTTCACTGGCAGAGGCACTGCAGGTCCATCCTTCGCTGTTTCCAGGCCCCGCAGGCCAGATCTAAGCACCCCGCTGGCCAGATCCGGCCCCCGGGCCTTGAGTTTGACACCCCTGATCTATTCTCTCAGGAGAAATTATGGCTCCTAATTATGATCCCGTAAGCATGAGAGAAACATGCATGTGATCCTTGTGCTAAATTGTATCTGTCTGCCTAATTAACTTAAATTTTTCTTCCTGCAGACTTGCACATTTCTGCTATCAGTGGCAGTGGCAGTGGCTATGGAGACCAGAGGGTTTTTTAAAAAAATCAAATCCATATTTAGCTTAGACTGAGACTTGTCCCTGAGTTTAGAGTCTGCACATGAGGGCTTCTTTCCAGCACATGGAATGATTTATGCTTAATTACTTTTGATCAGAGTGGTTTAGATATGTAGACTTATTACTACATATGTTACTGATTCACATGGGCAAGCTTCTGATTAAAATAAATATACAGTTAAGCTTCTATGCCAATTGGAGGGCTGTGGGGGCACCGTTTTGCTAGCAAATAAACTGAGATGATGGTTTGGAAGAGCAGATGCATCTAACACAGTGTTTTCTTGGCTTATCAATGTGCTATTTTGTAGTTTTGTCCAACATCCATTATCAAAGCTAGAAAATTGATTGGGTTCTTAATGGTCAAATAACATGATAAAAATTCCAGCCTGTGCTACATAGAATTTAGAACTTCCTAGACTAATAAAAACATGGAGCCAGCCGCAATATTTTGGACACTCATCTATCCTGGATAAACAGCAGTTTGCAATCAACAAGCAATTGGCTATGAAATCATGCAGCTGTTGAGCTCTTAGGGAACATAAGAAGCTATCTAGTTCAGTCACAAATTGACTCGCAGTGGCTCTTCCTCGGTTGCAGAGAATTAACTTTCCCACCTTTATCCCAAGTGATCAGGATGGAACCCAAGACAAACCGTACATTTGTCAAGCAATCTGCAGCTAATCCTGCCTCTGATTAGTATATGATAAGTATAGCTGCAAAACCATTTTTTATTACTGTATGTTTTATTCCTGACATTTTTAGGTTATATATAAAATACTGTGTGCATCTAAAAGCCAAAAACCATTATGCGTGCAATTTCCTGAAAATCAGTGGGACTAATTTCCCAGTATAGCAATAGCAATAGCAATACCAATAGCCACTTTTGCTTATATACCACTTTACAGTGCTTTACAGCCCTCTCAAAGTGGTTTACAGAATCAGCATATTGGCCCCAACAATTTGGGTCCTCATTCTACCCACTTTGAAAGGCTGAGTCAACCTTGAGCCTGGTGAGATTTGAACTGCCAAATTGCAGTCAGCCAGCAGTCAGCAGAAGTAGCCTTCAGTACTGCACTCTAACCACTGCGCCACCACAGCTCAATATCATGGATATATTTTCAATCAGTCTTATTAAAGTATATGATGGCAAAAAGACTTTGACAAGCAGATGTTTCACAGAGGAAATCCTGAATTCAGATTCCAGTTCAGTTGATTGATTGGACATATCCATATCCCTCAACAAATGTTTTTCCCCTCTTTTTTTAAACTACTGTAATCCAGCAAGCTTGCATGCACCACTCATTTGCATGAGCTGAAAGAAAAGGCATAGTTTAATTATTACTTGCCATCTTGGAGTGCATTTAGAACACTTGACTCCTGTTAGTCCTAATGGGATTTAAGTGGTCTCTGAGTGGAGATGTAGCTTTTTTTAAAAAAAAAACTGTTTCCCCCCCTGAAACTCCTTGTCCTCTTTTGTTAATTTGTGCTTCTCATCCTTCTCCCCATTACAGAATCTTTGTCTGCAGCCAGTTATTTTGGAACGTTTTTGCAAGCAACAAGACTGGTGATTCCCTCCCCTCCCCCTCTCGAGCATGTTTAATAAATACAAAAATAATTTCTGTGCAAATTAGTAATGATCTTAAAGCAAGTTTTTCACTCAGTTCTACTCAGCTATCCTGCATATATATTATATGCTGATATACATTTTTATGGCATAGAAAGCTAATTCCTTGGAGATTGTTACCACAACTCAGTTGAATGAACAGGCCTTCCCCATTGCTTGCCTGTTAATGTTTTGTCTTCTCTTGTAATAGGCTATTCAGAAGTTCAGTCTTAGGCCTGATTAAAATGTTGAAAACTTTTTCCACCTTCCACCCTTTTATTCAAAATAGTCATTTTACAAGGACAGGCCTTGGCATTTGCAATTTGTTCACTTGTAGATGTATCCAGCATGTCAAGAATGAATCTACTCATCTCAGTTTAACTATTGGACTCAGTTTGCACACAGGGTTTGTGAAGCTTACAGCTATTGCAACTCATCCATGTAGTACAGTAACATCAGGTGGAAAGAGTAATGTTTGACCCAGCTTATATTTTAGATAGGATGCATTCCTCTCACCCACCCCCCCCCGCTCCCATCTTAAAATCAATAGGGTGAAGTTCCCATCATTTTATTTGGTTAGACTTTTGCCTTTTATTGCATTTGCATACTGAAATTTCTCAAAATTCAATTGAGGTAGTCATATGCAAATCCAACCATTGGACATTCACCTTGGTTCCAAATTGTCTAAAACCTTTGAGGGCTCCTAAGAAAAACTGCAATGGCTGAACAATAGTGTTGGTGATGCTTAATTCTTGCTGGGCTCAAATGCAGAAAAAATCGCATCCTATGTGTGTGTGCTAAGGTATTTAAATGTAATAGCTAGAGCAGTGGGGTTGTGCAATGAGCCAGAAGACAGAGTTATAGTAGATTGGTTGGAGAGCGCTGGCTCCTGCGTGAGGCAATCTATGCTGTGATTGGATACTGTGGATGTAAAGGGGGAGTTTCTTTGTTTTCCCGCCTTTTTCTTCCATGTATCCTGTATGCTCTGTGATTTACTTCATGATGCCCCTGTTAGTCTGACTATCTTGTTTGCTGCAAATATAGATGTAAATATATATTTATTTATATAAAACTACAAATTCATGTCAGCGTCTCTGACTTCATTTGGACATCTGCTGTGCAATTCCCTGACTCTGTGTGTATATGTGTGTATTCACTACCGGTAGTTGTCTTCCATCCACAGAGAGCAAAGCCAGCTCCATTCAGCATGGTTGCTATCCCTGTTTCTACTAACCATGTTCAGGGATTATATGACAGGGCTAGTCAGGGCTGGTTCTAAAATCAGTTACAGGATGGAAAGCCATTTTGGAGCCTTGTGCTACTAAATTCCAGCTTATATATATAAAAAAATCATGACTACATACAAGCAAAGCAATATCACACTGACCATCTAGACAGATTTCCATGTTCACATACAGATAGAAAAAACTGTCGTATCTCCATAGCGGTCTCAGATTGAGCTGGTACAAAGGCTTGCATAGTTGTGCCTATCCCTTTAAACCATTGTAGGCGCTTTTGAAATGGCTCCTCTGCACACATGCATGCACATGCATGCACACAAAGCTAGAGGCACGTACAGATTTTATACGTTCAATCTAAACACTACCTTTGCAAATGATCCTTAACTGGCGTTTCAAAGGCAGCCAACCCTTTGGGCATAGCAGCTGTGTTCTTTGCAAATGGGATCCCTCCCATTTTTCAGGATTTGGTGGCGAGACGGGCTGGCGTCAGGTTACAGATCCAGGGAGTATTTATATTAATGTACATTCTGCAAGAAGTGGGTAGGCCCCTCCTCCCTTTTGTTGCTACAGGAACAAATTAAGGATTCCAGAAGCTGTCATCTGTTCTGTGAAACTTCCTGCAGAGGGTCAGTTTGAGCTATAGAGCTCTAGTCCAAATCCTCTTGGTCAAGCTTCAAAGGAGGTCTGTTGAAGCCACAGACAGAGGCCAGGACCAGCAGGAAACATTGAAGGGGTGACCTTGAACTTCCTTTGAGCCAAGGAGCCAGAAATCCAATCTCTGCTCCTAGAAGTTAGGAGAGTATTTGGGTTTGTGGAAGGAGGTGCTGAGTTTTTTCAATGTCTTTTTAATCCTCAGAGCTGTGAGTCTTGCTGAGGGACTCTGGAACCAGCATTCTTTCATGATCTTAGCTAGGGAAGATAAAGCCTGGAAGGTGAGTGGGGATGGGTGGGGGTGAGGGAAAGAGAAGGGATAGTTAGAATCAAAATCTAGACTTAACACATTTTCCAAAATTCTACACAACTAGAATTTTGCATGCATATTCACTGGACTCCTATCCTGAGCAAAAGCTTGGCAGAGTTTAACTATGGTTGAGACGACTGAGACAACTAGTCTTGCAAGGATGGGGCTATGAGACTTTTCTTGCATGTTTTAAAGGACGGTCTGTCTGTTTTTAAGCATCAGGCCTGCTTGTTAACATGAGGTGGAAGTCAGGGATTGTTTTTGTTGAACTTGGGGCCACAATCAGAGTTAGGGTCTATAAGGATAGATCAAGGATAAATTAAGGAATTAACACTTTCATGTCATTTCCTATTGCCTGACAGAATTTCAGTCAGAGCTATCTTTGGAGTTGATGCTGAAGTTTTCTAGATTTATGACATCTAGGAGTGGCATAAGTAGTCATATTCTCAATGTCTGACTTTTGGAGCAATTCAGAAGTCAATAGCACCAAGGACAGCTATAATGTCAACACACCATAAAAATTAAATGCTTAGTTATACTCTTATTCAGATTAGGGAGATGTTTCTTTGGTGGGAATACAGGTAGTCCTCAGCTCAGAACAGTTAATTCAGTGACTGTTCAAATTTACAGCGGCACTGAAAAAACCTGACATGACCATTTTTCACACGATCGTTGCAGCATCCTCATGGTCATGTGATCAAAATTCAGATGCTTGGCAACTGACTCATATTTATGACAGTGTCCCATGGTCATGTGGTCAGCTTTTGCGACCTTCTGACCAGCAAAAGTCAATGGGGAAACCAGATTCACTTAACAACCGTGGTACTAAAAATTGCAGTGATTCACTTAACAACTATTCACTTAACAACTACGGTTTGCTGAATAAATCCTAGATGGCAAGAAAGGTTGTTGGGCAAAAATCACTTCCCGCCTGGGCTACTGTAACGCTCTCTACATGGGGCTCCCCTTGAGGAGCACCCGGAGGCTCCAACTGGCGCAGAGTGCGGCCGCGCGGGTGGTTATGGGAGCAACATGGCGCTCCCGTGTGACACCTCTCCTGCGCAAGCTGCACTGGCTCCCAGTGGTCTTCTGGGTGCGCTTCAAGGTTTTGGTTATCACCTTTAGAGTGCTCCATGGCTTAGGACCTGGTTATTTACGGGACCGCCTACTACCACAAGCAGCCTCCCACCGGCCAGTACGCTCTCATAGAGAGGGGCTCCTCCGGGTGCCATCAGCGAAACAATGTTGACTGGCGGCCCCCAGGGGCAGGGCCTTCTCTGTGGGGGCACCCACTATCTGGAACGAGCTCCCCCCAGAGATACGGAGGATCCCGGATCTGCGCACTTTCCGCCGTGCTCTTAAGATTCTCCTATTCCAGCAAGCCAGCCTGGCCTAACCTTCTCCCCTGTTTTAAAATTCTTTTAAATCAAAATTTTAATCCGTTTTAAATTATTGGGATTTTTAATTGTCTCGGGCTAAATTATTTAATCTGGTTTTAATTATGTTCTTAACTTTTGTATTTATGTATTTTATTTTGTGCCTGTTCACCGCCCTGAGTCCTTCGGGAGTAGGGCGGTATATAAATCTAATAAAACAAACAAACAAACAAACAAACAAACAAACTTAACAACTGTCTCACTTAGCAACAGAAATTTTCAGGTCCATTGTGGTTGTAAATTGAGGATTACCTGTACCTCAGATCTTTTGACTTGTCATAAATGGATCAGTCTTTGATTAAGATTGCATTTATATCTGGATCCCATGTCCAGTAGGGGCAGGGTCTACTAGGGTGATCTGCCCAAAAAAGTTACTCAGTTTGAGTTGATTTTTAAAAGAGCTTGGAAAGTCTGTTGTAGCACCAGTGATTTTGTTGGTGTTCTGGTTGAAATGTAGAAGAAAGAATTTTAGCACTGTTCACAAAATTATTCCTGGGATAGACACATGTTAAAGAATTGGTGGGGGTGGGGGTGGGAAGAGACTGAAGTTTGGTAAGGTACAATATAAATGATTTTATTGTCATGGTGATCTCTGCAGCACAACAGCAATTGAACCAATCAGGGTGCCATCATTAACGCAGAATCAAATATGAAAATCTCTCTCTCCTCTGATAGGGTCAAACTTGGACACCCAATAATATAGAATAATTCTTAGTTCTATAAATCTCCCTTTTATTCTGTTCCTCAATATGACTTGCAACATATTTGAGAGTCAGTTTGATCTAGTGGTTAAAACACCAAGCTACAAACCAGAAGCCTGTGAATTCTAGTTTCGTTTTTGGGAAATCCGTTTTGGGCCAGTCACACTCTCTCAGCCCAACCCACCTCACAGCTTTGTTTTTTGTGAGAAAAATAGGACTATTATGTATGTTTGCCACCTTGAGTTGTTTGTAAAGATAATAAAGGTGGGATATAAACAAACAAACAAACAAACAAATAAATAAATAAGCAAGCTTCTAAGCAGGAGATTATTAAATATGTTTTTTGAAGGGAGGGGTGCCTTCAACTCAATGTTGGCTCCTGGTAATTGATTGGACAAGTCCCTGCAGTTTTTTTTATTCTTGGCAAGATTTTTCAAAAGTGGTTTGCCATTGCCTTCTGCCTAAAGCTGAGACAGAATGGCTGGTACAAAATCACCTAGTTGGCTTTGTTCAACTATATCGCTGCTACATCTGCAACTAGCAAGCAAGTCTCCCCAAAGGAAGAAAAAACAAAAAGCTGAGGAAATATAAGTTCATTTCGGCTGACAGCTGAAGCTACCCTGAAGATTTATCATTTCCTTCTGAGGATTTAGCATGCATTTGAGAATTTAATGTCTCCAGACTATAGGATACCCTAGGAGACAGAATGTAGAGATAAGCCTCAATTTATCTGATGGAACAGGGTTTTCTGAAAGTGTCTGTTGTAAACAGGAAGCTATGTACACTTTGAAATGAAAGTCGGAATAGACTCACTAAGCATGGTGTTTTCCAGACTCTCCATAAGATGCCATTCAGAGATTGTGTTCTGAGTACAGATCACCTGAGGGGGGCAGTAAGAGATGCAAACCCTCGTCCCTCATTATGCAGGTACCAAGACGGTCTCACAAGGATTATAGAAAAGTGGAAGAAGGGCTTGTGTGTCAATCACACAGTTCTGGGAAGGGGAGGGAAGGAGGGAGGTGTCCTAGCAACAGTCATGGCCCCTGAGGAGAGTGGAATTGAGGACATCAGAAAGGCATCAATAGAGAAATATCATATCTATGCAACAGAAGGTAACCCTGGATTTTAAGATGACTACTTCTGAAAAAGCAGTTAGAGGGGGGAAAAAAAGTCCTGTGCAAGGCCTACCCTCCCAAATAAATATGCGTGTAGGATATGCTTCAATCCAAGAAGAACAGGGATAAAAAAATAAAAACGCAAGTAGAATGAATTAGAATGAAATGCCAATAAAATAAGATATCCATTTATAAAATAAATTGAAGCTCATCTGCATATGGCCAATTACACCAAAATCAACCTCATGTACACAAACACAACTACATATACAGGTAGTCCTCAACTTATGACCACAATTAAGCCCAAAATTTTGTTTACTGAAGCAGTTGTTAAATGAGTTCTTGCCACAGTTGTTAAGTGAATACCCGCAGTTGTTAAGTTAGTAGCACGGTTGTTAAATGAATCTGGCTTCTCCATTGACTTTGCTTGTCAAAAGGTCGCAAAAGATGATCACAGGACCCCAGGACACTGCAACCATCATAAATATGAGTCAGTTGCCAAGTGTCCAAATTTTGATCACGTGGCCACGGGGATGCTGCAATGGTCGTAAGTGTGAAAAACTGCCATAAGTCACATTTTTCAGCGCTGTTGTAACTTTGAAATGGTCACTGTATATGGTTGTGCACAGATACATCCTGTCTTCAATGCCCCCACCCCACCCCAATTAAAAAAAAAAAACAGAACAGGGAGAGGCAAGGAAAAAGGGTAGCTGAGCTAGGAAAGAAACAAAGAAGAAGGAAAGAACAAAACAGAGAGATGAGCAGGCACAGAAGACAGATGGACAGAAGAAGGAAAGGAACTGTTCTACTTAGGCAGTAAAAAGGGTTAAAACTTAGCAGACGAGTGCCTGCTCCCGAGGGATGGGTATTCTGCAAAGGCATCCATTGCCTTCTACATGAATCTGCAGCCTCCTGCACTCCCTGCATCTTATCAGTCAATGGTATGCCCTTAACCACTTGCACTGTCCCAGTTTGGACCAGCCGAAGCTTCTGAGTGATCTTCCAAGGCAGCCTTTGCAAAGCATCTTGCAGTAAGTATTTAGGCAAGATAAATGTATTTGTGTATCTTGTGATGAGTACTCCATCACTAGAAATGTTCGATCTTTGGCAAAGGACAATGCGAATGACTTCATCCCTATTTGTTGTAACTTTAGAGTAACATCAGCGAAAATGGTTGGGACTATTTGCATTTGTTTTTCTTCCCGGGTTGTACAGCGAAGTTATTCTGTTGCTTCATTAGGCACGCAAATGTCAGCTCTAAAAGTGCTGTCTCAGCATATAGCCTGTGTGATGACATTACAGAATTTCCCATGCTATAGGAAAAAGTTACATAATCAGGAGGACAGGGTACAATGTTGGCTAACATATGCTAAAGCCGTTACCATATGGTTTTAGTATTGAGGATAAATTATTTGTGTCTCAAGGCTTCTGGCAGCTGGCAATGAGGGTCTGGGAAGAGTTTCACAATTCGGAATGCTCCACTCCAATCTCCTTTTCAGATAAAGTACAGGTGGTCCTCAACTTACAACAGTTCATTTAGTGGCCATTTGAAGTTACAATAACATTGAAAAAATGACTTATGACTGTTTTTCATACTTACGGCCTCTGCAGCATCTCCATGGACACATAATCAAAATTTGGATGCCTGGCAACTGCATCCAAACATCGTATTTACGATGGTTGCAGTGTCCTAGAGTCATATCAGTGGTGAAATCCAAGTTTTTTTTTACTACCGGTTCTGTGGGCATGGCTTGGTGGGCGTGGCAAGGGAAGGATATTGCAAAATCTCCATTCCCACCCCACTCCTAGGGAAAGATATTGCAAAATCCCCACTCCCTCCCCACTCCTGGGGGAAAGATACTGCAAAATCTCCATTCCCATCCCACTCTGGGGCTAGCCAGGGGTGGTATTTGCCGGTTCTCTGAACTACTCAAAATTTCTGCTACCGGTTCTCCAGAACCTGTCAGAACCTGCTGGATTTCACCCCTGGGTCATATGATCACATGACTTTCTCACAAGCAAAGTCAATGGGGAAGCCAGATATACTTAACAACTATGTTACTAACTTAAGAGCTGCAGTGATTCACTTAACAACTGTGGCAAAAAAGATCATAAAATGGGGGCAAAATTCACTTAACTAGCTCACTTAGCAATAGAAATTTTGGGCTCGATTGTGGTCATAAGTTGAGGACTACCTGTATAGAAAAAACACTATTGAAGTGGGATCAGCCACAGAGATGGTTGGCCCAAGGAAATCCACCTCAGTAGAAAGCTCATCAAGGGATCTTGAGCTATTTGCTATCTCACCACTAATTCAGTTTAGGGGACATATTTTACCATTTAGATCTTCGCAAAGGAAAAAATGTCATGGAATATGAGGATGAGAAATAAAAGCTTTCTTCATGGGATAAAGTAGTGGACAGGGCTCTTCAAGGAATGAAATGGTGTTCAGGCTCAATGATTCACCCCTGGCTTAATTAAGATGATGGCCCTGTTCAAATTCAATTGCTAATTGGGGCACACCCTTGTTTACATGAAGGAATCTTCAGTTTGGTGGTCTGCAAAGTAAAAAACAATCCCTTATCGTCCACTTGTTTGCATGCATGGTTTACTCTAAGGAGGGCGAATAGCTCTGTACTGGCATTTTATCTTCTGACCACCCAAGGCCTTGGTCATCCTCCCTCTAGCTTCTGGGATTCCAGCAGCCGCTGCCCATGATTCTTCCTGCTTGTCTTATCTTTACATTCTTTTTTTTCTGAACTAGTGCCAAGATTCTCTCCCAGGGATTCTGAAGTCATAATTTACAACACAATCTGCGCTTCTCTGTCTTATAAAAGCCGAGTAGGTCCTGCAGCGGATTTGCCAGGTATCAAGCCAGAGATTGGCCTGGCCCACTGAAAACAAAGAGTAAATCATGTATTTTCTTCCCTATTCCTTCCCTCATTCATTCAGCCCTATCTCGGACAGATGTTCTACAGTCGTAGAATACAAAGAAAATTGGGAAAGATAGAAAATGTAGAAAAAAGGTTGGATAGAGAACCGGAAAGGACAAGACCAGTGGTGGGTTGCCCCCAGTTCGGACCGGTTTGCAAGAACCGGTAGTAAAACCGGCAGGAGGCCCTGCCCACCGCCCCGGATGTCGTCATCGGCGATCTGCGCATGCAGAAGCTTCCCGTTGTGAACCGGTAGTAAAGGTAAGTAGAACCCACCCCTGGACAAGACATAACTAGAAGACACAAAGCTATATGATAAATCTTCAAGTGGAAGCCTGGCAATCTGAACTGTTACAAATATTATTTCTTCAGATGTTGCCATGCAGAGAGCTTGCCTCTGGATTACCACCTCATAATTTTTGAAACCATTTTACAAAGCAGTCCCGATTTAATTTTTATAGTGGGTCTTTTTGGTTTTAATAATGACTTTTGATACTTTTTATAATGATTGTTTTTTTATATATATTTTCTATTTTGTTGATTGTTGCAGACCAGGGGTGTCAAGCTTGCAGCCCATGGGGCGGATGCGTCACGTGCTGGCCACGCCCACCCCTGGTTTAGCAAAGGGGGAAAAAGTCGTGATGTCACGTGATGACAACGTGATGTTGCGAGTTTGATACCCATGTTGTAGACTGTCAAAAGTCACTTTTTGTGAGCTGGGTTGCCACACAAATGTGATTAATAAATAAATTAAATAGTTAAATATCCCAACAGGGCCATAATGTGATGGGGCAGCCCAGAATTCTTCCAGGGGAAGAACACCAAGGCATGGCAGCCTTTGTGTAGCGAGAGTGGGCATCAGCAGTGAAATCCTCTGAAGTCTGCTACCGGTTCTGTGAGTCTGCTAATGAGCATGTGCTTTGCGCGCACATAGCACTAAAAGAGGAACATTTTTAAGCCTTCCGAGTCTGCAAAGGTAAGTAGAACAGTGAGGGGGGGGGAATCCACTGTGCCACGCAATTTAGATTAGCTAGAGAGCAGGAAATCCGATGATTCTACCTAATATAAATTGCACGTCACAGCTGATCTTCGCCAAGCTGATCATTGGAAATACTGGTTTGTCCGAATCGGTAGCATTTTTTACTACCGGTTCGGGAGAACCAGTCCAAACCGGTAGCATTTCACCCCTGGTGGGCATCCTTGTAGGGAAATGCCTATCCTGCAGCTGTAGAGCAGAGTTTCTCAACCTTGACAATTTTAAAATGTGTGGACTTCCAACTCCCAGAATCCCCCAGTCAGCATGTTGACTGAGGAATTCTGGGAGTTGAAGTCTATGCATGTTAAAGTTGCTTGGGCTAAGGAACACGGCATTGGAGGAAGTGCTAAACATGATCATCAGGGCAGCTCTTTCAGAGAAGAAGGGGAGTGTGAATTAGCTGATGGGGTAAATAATCTCATCTTTCCAAGACAGTTAGAAGATACATGGCATCATTGGGATAGGGCATGGCTTTCTTCCTGCGTGGAAGGGACCTCTATTTCCTCAAACTGTTCAATAGATCTAGCTGGGAAGCTTGATTCCTATGCGGACGTGGTATAAGATGCTTTCTTTGCTTCTGCCTCTACTCTGGAAATTGATGGCCACACAACATGGGTGAAATCCAAAATTTTTCCCTACCAGTTCTGTGGGTGTGGCAGGGGAAGGATATTGCAAAATCTCCATTCCCACCCCACTCCAGGGGAAGGATACTGCAAAATCTCCATTCCCTCCCCTCCTGGGGGAAGGATATTGCAAAATCTCCATTCCCACCCCACTCTCGGGCCAGCCAGAGATCGTATTTGCCGGTTCTCTGAATTACTCAAAATTTCCGCTAACGGTTCTCCAGAACCTGTTAGAACCTGCTGGATTTCACCCCTGCCACACAGCAATCCTAGCTCAACAAGCGTCCTTTTTGAAACAACGGGAACCCCTTCCTGTTCAGTAACAAAATAAAGCACTAAAAGTTATCTTTCTAATAGTTTGCATCACTCACCGGATCAGAGAACATCCGATTTGGAATGGTGGGTGTCTGCTGGTCAATGCAAACCACTTTTTTCATGTCTTCAAAGCTGGGGTCGACTGGAACCAAGTCAAAGAAAGGAGGTTTATAATCTTCAATAATCCCTGCAGGATAAAAAAAAAAAATTGAGGGAAAAGGAAGGAGAAGTCTTGAGGCTGCAAGCATGCAGACATTATTCAGTGTGAACATCATCTTCCTGTACCATCTGTTATGTCCAGCCCAGGTCCTGGTGTTCGAACGTAGTCAAATAAGGACAAAAGAAAAGCTACACAGATTCAGGAGGACTGTCCTGATAAAGAATCAGGCTTATACAAATAGAAAAAAAAATATTTTTCAGTGGTTCCGTTTCAATTCTATGAGTACACAGGTATATATATGGAAAAAAGCTAAATCTGCCCATTATCTCAGACTAGGGGGATCATCATGAACATGGAACTGGAATTTGTTTAGATCACATGCCAGCAATCATGTTCTCCAACGCCATATAAGCTAATGGCTTTCTTTTTGTCCTGGAATCAAAAACAACTGAACTGAGTCTGAGGACGTTGCTGTAGAAAAGACCTATTTTGATACGCATTTCTGCCATTTGGCAACCCAACCCAACCATTTGGGTTAAATAAAAGACTTTAAAACATTTCCTCTGGAAAATCTCAGAAAAGATTCCACCCTGACAATGTCCAGGCATAGGTGGGCCTCCTCAGTGGAGAGGAAAGACCAAGGTAGAAATCTTTTAAACAGGCCTCCATTGAGAAATAGCAAGTGGTGAGACTACTTTTGTTACTGACAACACACATGCCCATGCACGCCTTACGAGCAAATGCTCACATGTCTTCCATTCAATGCAATAAAGCAGTTTCCACTAGCTGAGCAAGGTAGGTCGGTGGGAGGGGCAGGGGTTTAATGTTGAAGGAAGGCTTGACCTAGACCAGGGGTCTGCAACCTTAAACACTCAAAGAGCCATTTGGACCTGTTTCCCACAGAAAAGAAAACACCGGGAGCCACAAAACCTGGGTGGGCATGGCCAACTCGACATCACTCACTTCCACCAGTCACATGACCGCCCCCCTAGCCACGCCTAGCCAGCTGGTCATCAGGGCAGAAAACCAATTGTTAAAAAACACCGGGAACCACAAAACCCTTTTGACATCTCTCTCTCCCTCCCTTCTTCTCTCCCTCCCCCCTCTGTATCTCTCTATGTCTCTCTGTCTCCCCCTCTCTCTGTATCTCTCTCTCTCTGCCCCGGCTGCTTCTCCATCGCCTGCTGTTGCCCTTACCTTCTCAGGCCAGGCGAGGAGTGACTGGGAGGGGAGGACGAGAGGCGGAGCCAGCCAGTAGTGGGATCACCCAACAGGGAGCCACAGCAGAGGGCCCAAAGATCCGCATGCGGCTCTGGAGCCGCAGGTTGCTGACACATTACCTAGACTGTTGTTTTCTTATAGGGAGAATGGAAAAATGAGGCTAAATTGGTGAAGATCAGTGTTTTTCAAATTTGGCAACTGAATTAGTATATGTAATGGTATGGATAAAAAAAACAATAGTTCTTCATGTGAATCCTGTTTCTTCTCCATAGAATACAGGTAGTCCTCGATTTACAATTGTAATTGAGCCGAAAATTTCTCTTGCTAAGTGAGACATTTGTTAAGTGAATTTTGCCCCATTTTATGACCTGTCTTGCCACAGCTGTTAAGTGAATCATTGCAGTTGTTAAGCTATTAACATGGTTGTTAAATGAATCTGGCTTTCCCACTGACTTTGCTTGGGAGAAGATTGCAAATGTGATCACATGACCCCAGGACACTGCAACCATCATAGCAATAGCACTTAGACTTATATACCACTTCACAGTGCTTTACAGCCTTCTCTAAGCAGTTTACAGAGTCAGCATGTTGCCCCCCAACAATCTAGGCCCTCATTCTACCCACCTTGGAAGGCTGGAAGGCTGAGTCAACCTTGAGCCTGGTGAGATTTGAACTGCCAAATTGCAGGCAGCCGGCAGTAAGCAGAAGTAGCCTGCACTCGAACCACTGCGCCACCCACAGCTCAATCTTATCATAAATAAGTATCAGTTGCCAAACATCCAAATTTTGATCACATGATCATGGGGAGGCTACAATAGTCGTAAGTGTAAAAAATGATCATAAGTCATTTTTTTAGTGCCATTCTAACTTTGAATGGTCACTAAACAAACTGTTATGAGTCAAGGACTATCTGTATACATTTTGGGAGCTACTAGCTAGGCAAGGGTCTTACAGACTTCATGCTAGAACCAGTATTTCTTACTGTGAAAGCTATTTTGAATTTGGAAAACATAAACATTGCAGTTACTAATGACTCATCTATCTTGTTCTTGTTTCTATGCAAACAAACAAACAAACACAGACAAGTACTGCTGCAATCTTATTCACAATTTGCAATTTTATTCATTTCTAAATTACATTTATAGGATGCTCTACTCATTATGACTTGAAACACGCATGAATGTGTTCATGATATTAAACCAAGGTAACTCAACTTTTGACTTAGGATCAAAGTTTACCAGTATATAGTTGGCCAAGATTAATAACAAAATGATTTAGTAAATTATGGGGCATCTGTTGAATAAAGTATACCATAACCCCTTAAAGCAGGGGTGAAATCTAAAATTTGTTACTACCGGTTCTGTGAGCATGGCTTGGCGGGGGTGGGTGGGTGGGTGGGTAATATGACTGGGTGGGCGTAGCCAACTTTTTTTTTTTTTTTTACTTTTAAAAGCATTTTTTCTACAGCCTTAAGAGGTTGCAGAAAAAAATGCTTTTAGAAGCCTCTGACGATCAGGCAAGTCAGCTGGGATCGCCAGAGGCTTTTAAAGGCATTTTTTCCCCTACAACCTCTTTGGCCGAAGGGGTTGCAGAAAAAAATGATTTGAAAAGCCTCTGACAATCCCAGCTGAGCCACACGATCATCAGAGGCTTTTTAAAAAAACTTTTAAAAGCGTTTTTTCGGCCGAAGAGGTTGTAGAAAAAATGCTTTTAAAAGTAAAAAAAAAAAAAGCCTCTGATGATCGCGCGGCTCAGCTGGGCATGGGGGGGGGGCGCAGGGATTTTTGCTACCGGTTCTCCAAACCACCCTCCGCCATTGCTACCGGATCTGGCGATCCGGTCCGAACCGGGAGCATTTCACCCCTGTCTTAAAGATATTTGAGACTAATGGTTACAAAATCCTGGCATCTTTACTGTTAGAAGGAACTACCAATGCATTAACTGAAAAAAAAAAAAAAAACCCCATCAGTTCTTGTTAACTTTCCATCAAAATATTGCATAGAGCCATGGTGGTGCAGTGGTTAGAATGCAGTTTTGCAGGCTGTTCGATTCTGAACAGCTCAAGGTTGACTCAGCCTTCCATCCTTCTGAGGTAGGTAAAATGAGGACCCAGATTGTTGGGGGCAATATGCTGACTCTGTAAACTGCTTAGAGAGGGCTGTAAAGCTGTGTGAAGGAGTATGTAAGTCTGTGTGCTATTGCTATACTGTTATTATTATAACTTCACTATCCTCATTAGCATATCTTTCAAATCATAGGATGTAAAAATAGATGACAATAAAAAGAAATCCAAGGGTGAAACAATTACAAGTGGATAAAAAAGCTACACTCAAAAGACCTTGCCCAGAAAAAAGAATTTTGGCTGTTTCCTAAAAGACAAAAAGTGTGCGAAACAAGTGCGAATTTTGAGGGAAGGATACATTAAAAGCACCCCCCTCCAAAGTGCTGAGACATACCTCAGCAAGTGGGTATACCTTTTAAGGAGCTTCCTCTGGCTAACCTAATTAGTGTTGCAATCATCAGGGACACAAGTCTGCAGTCTCACAATCAGGGTGTAGAAACATGTACATTACATCTTGTTGGCTCTGCAAGCCAACAAGACAGACACAGACTTCAGAGGATAATTAGAACTGCAGAAAAAACAATTGCTACCAACCTGCCTTCCATTGAGGACCTGTATAGTGCACAAGTCAAAAAGAGGGCTGTGAAAATATTTACAGACCCCTCGCATCCTGGACATAAACTGTTTCAACTCCTACCCTTAAAACGACACTATAGAGCACTGCACACCAAAACAACTAGACACAAGAACAGTTTTTTCCTGAATGCCATCACTCTGCTAAACAAATAATTCCCTCAATACTGTCAAACTATTTACAAAGTCCGCATTACTATTAATCTTCTCATCGTTCCCATCACCCATCTCCTCCCACTTATGACTGTATGACTGTAATTTTGTTGCTTGTATCCTTACGATTTATACTGATATTGTTTCCTGATTGCTTATTTGTACTCCATGACTATCATTAAGTGTTGTACCTTATGATTCTTGATGAACGTATCTTTTTTTTAATTTCATTGATAGCATATGCACCAAAGACAAATTCCTTGTGTGTCCAATCACACTTGGCCAATAAAGAATTCTATTCTATTCTATTCTATTCTATTCTATTCTATTCTATTCTATCTATTCTATTCTATCCTATCCTATCCTATCCTATCCTATCCTATCCTATCCTATCCTATCCTTACCCTTACCCCTACCCCTACCCCTACCCTTACCCCTATTCTATTCCTAGAGTTTCAACATCTTTTTTACATTGTGGTGACCAAAACTGGATGCAGTATTCCAAGTGTGGTCTTATCAAGGCATTATAAAGTGGTATTAACACTTCACATGATCTTGATTCTATCCCTCGGTTAATGCAGTCTAGAACTGTGTTGGCTTTTTTGGCAGCTGCAACACACTGCTAGCTCGTATTTAAGTGATTGTCCACTAGGACTCCAAGGTCCCTCTCACAGTTACTACTATTGAGCGAGGTTCTACCTTTAATGTACTTGTACATTTGTTTTTTCTTGCCTAAATGTAGAAACTTGCTTTTTTCACTATTAAACTTCATTTTGTTAGATAGCACCCAATGTTCAATTCTGTCAAGATCAGACGTGGGCTGCTGTCAATTTGGACTGGTTCGCCCGAACTGGTGGTTCTGATTTTTTTTTTTTTTAAAGTTAATAAATAGTTAAACTTTAATAAAAGTTTTTTTTTTTAAACAAACATTCAAACAAAACAATATATTCTTAATCAT